AACGCACCGGCGTCACTTCCGAATTCAACCCTAATCCCCACAACAACATCAACATCAGCAATCCCTTTTCCTCTGCGATTCCAATCCAAACCCTCAACAGCCACAACTTTCACCCCTTCTCTTCATCGCCGCCGTCGCCATCGCCGCAGCCGCCGCCGCAGCAATCTCAAGAACACTCTCTCGTGATCCCCCCGACGACGCCATACAAGCGTCCTCTTCCGAACCCTAACAATTCCTCTCCCCTCTCCAAATCCCCCACTCTCTACAAGCTCCGAAACGACGCCGTCCGCCGCGCCGCCGGGCCCACCTCCCTCTCCGCCAAGGCCGTCGTTTTCCGCCTCGTGCGGCGCGTCAACCGCCTCCGGCGCCTCGTAATCCTGGTCTCTCTTCCTTTCTTCTACTTCCTCGTCTCTCATCCCAGCCACTCGTTCCTCCTCGATTTTCTCTCCGCCTTCGCCTTCTCGGCCGCGCTTTTGCTCTCCCTCAACCTCGCCCTCCCTCGGCTCCCTTCGATACGGCTCTTCCTCTCCCGGTCTCTGCCGCTGAAGCTGATCTCTCCTTCCTCAATCTCCAGGCCTCCCTTGCCGGTCTTCTGGTCGATTGGGTCTCGCGCGGCCAGGGCGGAGAAGCGGCCCAACAGCAGCAGTGGGTGCTGGGTTCAGGTGTACCGAAACGGCGACGTTTACGAGGGAGAGTTCCACAAGGGGAAGTGCTCCGGGAGTGGAGTGTATTACTATTACATGAGTGGGAGATACGAAGGGGACTGGGTCGACGGGAAGTACGACGGTTACGGGGTCGAGACATGGGCGAGGGGAAGCCGATATCGCGGGCAGTACAGACAGGGACTGAGGCATGGATTTGGGGTGTACAGGTTCTACACGGGCGATGTTTATGCTGGGGAGTGGTCTAATGGGCAGAGCCACGGCTGCGGAGTTCACACGTGCGACGACGGGAGCCGTTATGTTGGGGAGTTCAAGTGGGGCGTCAAACACGGCCTTGGCCACTACCATTTCAGGTAACAAGGAATGTTGCTCGACATTTTCATACATATATGTATGTGTTTCTAATTTATGTCTTCTTCTTGTCTGTTGTTGTTGTTGTTCTAATATATATATATATATATATATATATATATATTGAAAATGTGTGCTTATTGGTCCTCCATGATAATTGGGTAGTTGATCTAGTGTAGGAGGTGTTTTTTCCATCAAGGGTAAAATAATTTTTCCATCTTTATAGCAAAGATTATATTTAGGTGGATTGCTATTCTTAATTCGCTCATGAAATTAGAAAAAGTTCTCAATGCAGTACAGGTACCCGTATTATTCGCGTATATATTCTTCATTATTGTGTGTAAACAACTTTTTCATGATGGTTGGCCGTTGGTGGTGAATAATAGTAATCGGAAGGAACCGATTATATATGCGAATCTGAGACAAATAGTTACCCCTGCAGTCACTTTTTAATGATGTATGATATGTAAAATGGGAATTATGAAACTTCAATTTCTCATTCTTGTGACAATATATATATATATATATATATATAATGGTCTTTGCATGCATCTCCAAAGAAGTTGTAAGATGATTAAGGAGGTGTTTTCCCCCTAAATTAGTCCTGCTGAGGAGGCAATGAATTTGGTGAAACATCGAATGACTGCCCTGGTTCTCTTCACTCTTCACACACACAAAACAAAAGCACGTATTCACATTTATTTATTTTATTTATTTTTATTAAGCAATAGTAAGTAAATGGGGTGTTCGTGTTGTGTCCTACCATCAGGAAGCAAGAAGAGCGGCAGAGAAAGCTTATGATGTGGCCAAGGTGGATGAAAGGGTCAACCGGGCTGTAGCCGCTGCAAACAGGGCGGCAAATGCGGCTAGAGTAGCAGCGGTAAAAGCCGTCCAGAAACAGATGCATCAAAATAGTAACAATGACAATATTCCAATTCCAGTCTTGTGAGACTCCTAACTGCACCTCATTCGTCAGAACTATTACATCTCATTCTGATGGCAACAACAACAAAAAAGAGAAAAAAAAAAAGGCGCTGGCTGCCTTTGGCAGTTTTTCCTTTCCGGAGTAGCCTTCATTCAGCTTTTCATGCTCCGTGCTTTATCTTCTCTTCTCTTTTGGCATCTTGCTTTGAGAGAGCTTCGGGTTCAATCTCAGTTGAAGTTTAGTAGAACTAAAGAGGGGTTTAAAATGTCAAATCTGTATTTCTTTTAGATGTATGTATACAACTCAGAAAAGAAAGAGCAACGAGTATGGCGTCCGCAAGTTTGAGATAGAAAGAAGAGAGGATGAAGAAGATAAATGGCGTCCATAAAGTAACTAATTTTTGTTTTTCTTCGATCCGATGTTTTGGTTCATTTTTGTAAAGATGAGTTTTAGATGTAAAATGTAAGAGAGCTGGTACCGTTTTTATGTGAATTGAATTGTTGCCATTTTACAGAAGTTGAATATTGTCGGAGAATAATGAGGATAACCAAATGCGTTATTTGGTCCCATTGGCTTAATAATGTAATAGATGGAAAATTGTAGGAAATGAGTCTTTTTGGAAGTAGAAACAGCATATTTGCTTTAGCTGGCATGGCACTCGTCGAGTCGTCGCTACGTGTATATATAGGATAGGCGTATGGAGTTGCAAATTCTTTTAGATGATGATTCTCGCTACCAAGTAGCAGCATTTTGTCACTCCTTAAACCATTGAACATTAAACTTGGTGTCAACAATATTATACAAGTATGAGACCTGAGGAGACATAATAAAAGACTAACAAAAAGCAAAACTTCTAGCTCTCTGTCTGCTCCCTGAGCCTCCTTATGGTGCTCCTAACTGTTACGGCACTCGCAGTACTGCCAAATTTGAAGACAGGCACGTAAGCAAAAAGCATATTTTACTACAAACTCAATATTATATTAAAAGCTAAGATACTAACTTCAGGGTGTAGGCGCCTCCAGCTTTAACTTTTCCACAATCTTTGCAGCCCCAAATCCCAACAGCCTTCCTCTTCACCGCATACTATATGAGTGTACCATTTGATGAACCAAAAGCCAAGTTTCATTCACAAACCAAACTCACAAAATTGATAGTAATAATGGGGGGAGGGGAAGCATGGCATTAGGCAACTTACCTTCCCGCAAAACTCGCAAAAAAACTTGCTGTGCTGACTGACTTCCATCTTTTTAATCTGCTTCCTCAAACTAGCACCATATCGGGTGCCTGAAGATTACGTAAATTTATTAGCATCAGCACTTTAACCCATTCTAACAATAAACCAAAATAAATGAGATTAAAAAAAAAAAAAAACAAAAAAAAAAAGATAAAAAAAAAAAAAAACGAAAACTATAACAAACACACCGTATTTCCCAACAATACCAGCCTTCTTTGTTCTCTTCGTCTGCAAGATATCCGAAATATAAAGTTAAATAACAAAATGACCAAAAGAAAATAGACTGCTGTTAGAAGTCCGAAAGCATTTTTTGCGTAAACCAAACACTCCAAACGCAATTTAGTACAATTTTGTGTATGATTATAAGAAAAATAATATATCGTTGGACGCAGTTCAGAAAAAGACTAGTGTGACAATTTAGTGGAACTCGTTAAAAAGATTCAAATTTTCATTCTCTGCCACAGAATTTTCGTTTTCCATAACACAAAATGTCCAGAAACATCAAACACGACTGCAATACATTAAATTTTTGACAAAATGTAGTTAAAAAGCACATCTACGCAGGCACAGGTTCATAAAAAGAGAACTTCTTTGTTGAGCACGAATTAAATATCCAGACAAGAAAAAATAAAGCCCAAAGTTAACAACAATAATCTCATTGTGAAGTCGAATAACCCACTTGTGCAATGTTCCATTCAAATTTCTACACAAAAATTGCTTCCCTCATCAAGAATGATCTTCTATTTCTATACAAGTTTTTTTGTTTTCCTATTATGAATTTAAAAAAAAAAATTCTGTTGCTAAACAATTTTAAACCCAGTTAGCATAGTAAAGAAGAACTTGTTAAAGTAAACAGTCCCCGAAGGAAGGAAGGAAGGAAGAAGATTGAGCTTCCAAATATAAATCCCAATAACAAGTTCTGGATCCACTACTTCAAGCATAATAATCATGTTCGATGAACAACAAATTTATCAAAACAAAACCTTAAACCCAAAACCCTAAACAAAAACAAGAAACAGCGAGAAGCACAAAAAGAGTACCATTTTGGGTGCGGGGATTCGGGGGAGCGAAAAACCCTAGAAATGGAGAACTCGCAAGCTTTGAGCGGCCAAAATGGAAGGAAACGTTTCAACACTACGGCTCATGGGCTGATGGCCCTTTGTAGTTCAAGCCTTAGGTGTGCTAGGCCCACTGTTGTAAGCCCAATGTTCATTTAGGAGGAATGAAACAAAGGGGAAAATATAATATTTTGATTAATATCTTTTTCAGTTAAATAATTTTATTAGTAAAAAATGTATTAATTAAGAATAAAAGATAAGAGTAAATTCAATATTTTTTTCAATTGTTGATGTGTTGTGTGTGCAAATTATAAGGGAGAAAAATCTAACTAGTATTTTTTTTAAAAATTATTTTTGGTAAGTACATATTTTATAATATTCATCATAAATAATATATTTACAGTAAATGATTCATTTTATGAAGCATATTTACGATAAATTTTTTATCTTATAAAATGACTTCGTAAAATGAATCTTTACTATAAATATTTTAATATGTGTTATTTACTGAAATTATTTCACTGTAATATAAAAGAATAGAAGTTCTCTTTACGCACTGTCTTGTTGCTTCCTCTTTTTTTTCCCCTTTATTTTACTTTTTTTTTTTTTGTTTTCTATACCCTATTAGCTTCTAAATCCTAATTTTTAATCTTAAATTCTAATCTTTATCTTAAATCTTAAATATATAAAAAAAGTAAATATGTAACTATTATTTGCACTTGGTAGTCTAACATGGGGAGTATTTGACACTTCACCTTTTTTTCTTTTAATTTTTTAAATGCTAAATCATAATTCTTAATCTTAAATCTTAAATATGTAAAAGAGTAAATATGCAACTATTGTTTGTATAGTTCAAAACGGGAAATGTTTGGTGCTTTACTTTTTGTGGTTCGATTTTTTAATCTATCGTAGTCCAAAACGATTCCTTTCCTTTTTAAGTTTCAACTCTTTTATTTTTTAAAAATTTTGTTAATTATAATTTAAAATATTTTATGTATTTTTATACATTAAGAGCCCGTTTAGTTCGTTGATTCGAGTTTTTAATTCGAGTTGAGATGTGATTTTATGTGATAATTTTTTACTATAGCAAAAAAGTTAGATATAATTGTTTATGAGAGCTTTTTACTGTAGCAAAACTCGAATTCTAAACTCGAATCAGCGAAATAAACGGGCCCTAAATATAACCTTTTTTATTTTAAACTATTATGAACAAATATTATTTTTTTTTTGTCATAAAATTTATATCTAACTTTTATTATTTTCTCGAAGAATGACAAATGTGATCATTACACTATTAAGATAGTGACTTATTACCCCTCAAAATAAAACAAAAAAAAACAAAAACAAAAAAGAAAGATAGTGACCTGTTAGAAATTGAAAATCTTTTATGGTACTTTTTTCACCCACTCCAATTGATTATTTTTTTAAAGATAAAATCATTTTTTACTCTTTATTATAATAAAATATGTTTTTAGTATCTTGTATTTTTAATAATATTAAAACAGTACCTTAATATTTTTAAAAATATATTTTTAATACCCTAACGTTGATTTTTAAAACATATAATGTCTAAACTATCATTCTCGTTAATTATATAGAAATTAATATTTTTTTTAAAAATCTAAAAATATTTTAAAACATTAAAATATCTAAAAGAAAATAGTAAAATAAAAAAGTCCATGATTTTTTTCTAGATTCATTAGTTTTTTTATTAATTAAATAGAAGGGATACTAAAGTCATTTTGTCTTGAAAATCAATTCTTGAGTATCAAGAAGATGTTTTTACAAATGTCAAAATACCGGCCGTGTTTGGAATTAATCCCGTTTTTATTTTTTACGTTTTTTGAGAGGAAAAAATAAAAATGTTTTCTAAACGGTGTTTGACGTAATAAAGATAAAATACAGCAACGAAAACGGTTTTTTAATTTAGTGTAAAATGAGAGAGAAATAAAAAATGACATTTAATTATTTTTCATTTTTTGTTTTCATTTTCTCCTCTCTCGAGCAGAGAGAAAGAAAAAGAGATATTAATAAATTTTGTTTACACTAAAAATAATCTCTTAATAAAACTAAAAATATTTTTAAAAATAATTTTTATCTAAAATTAAAAAAATTTCATTTTATTTTTATATAAAAAATAAAATTATTTTAAAATAAATTTTAAACGCGCCTGCCGTTTTAATATTATAAAAAACATATTCGCACTGACCAAAATGATGATTATTACTTTTATTTTTGGAGTACAAGGAAAAGGAAACGTTCTCTCACTTCGTTGTTGATCCCTGATGGTCATTGGTCATTGGTCATTGGTGAGCAAAGCAAACTACAAAAACGAACCTTCTATTCCTAACTCATCCAAATTTCCTTCCGCTTTTCCTCTCCTCTTTGGTCTGTCTCCGTCTTGGGGTCTCTCGCTAATAAATAATAATATCCCCTTATTCCGATTCAGCCCCTGCGAACTCCCTCAATTCACAACATCAGCCAACCATCCAACTCAACCATGATGATGCTGGTCAACTGCTCCAACTGCCGGACGCCGCTGCAGCTTCCGCCTGGCACCCGATCCATCCGCTGCGCCCTCTGCCATGCCGTCACCCACATCGCCGACCCACGTGCCGTCCCTCCTCCTCCGTCCTCCTCCTACGCGCCGCAGCCATCTCCTCCACCTCCTCCTCCGTCGTCGCACGTGCCGTCTCCTTACGGCCACTCGCCGCCGGGTCCGCCCCCGAACCCTCACGGGCGGAAGAAGGCGGTGATATGCGGGATATCGTATAAGTACTCGAGGCACGAGCTGAAGGGATGCATCAACGATGCCAAATGCATGCGCCATCTTCTCACCACCAAGTTCCACTTTCCGCCGGATTCCATTCTCATGCTCACTGGTATATTTTCTCTCTTTTACTCTGGATAATTTCGACTCTTTTTTTTTTTTTTTCTTTAGGTTTAAGTTTTCGAATCAGAAAACAGTATCGAGAATTGAGGATTTTTTAAAGTTTTATTTTACAAAAATATGGGTACGTGAGAGTTTTAAATGAGAAAGGTATGTGGGATAGAAGAAGATTGAGGATTTATTGCTAGTTTTGGGTTTTTTCTTTTCTTTGGTTTGAATTTGTGATTGTTACAACGGGTTTCTCTAGTTGTAAGACACTTATTAGGAGTGTTTCGTTTTTTGGCAATTTTGATTTTTTATTCTGATAAATTTTGTGTTGGGAAGTTGCTCTTAAAGCGTAGCAAATTATTTGAACTGTAAATTTTATGTGCAAGCGCATTTGGTTCATGGTTCAAACTACAAAATTCAATTTTTTGTGAGAAAAAAACACTAGAACCATTTGAACCGGGGTTTGGACTCACTTTCCAAACAAGCTCACTAGTTGAAGCGAAATGATATATAGAATAAAACACACCTTGCTAATGCTTACTGTTTGTATATAGTACGCATAAATTTAGATGGAACTTTGAGCATTATAAAAAAGATTTTATTTGAGGATCATATTTTGCTCCAGAAACTCTGTTCAATAAAAAAGAGCACTGTGAGGGATACCAGCATTTGGCTCTGATTAATAGTTATGCTTTAGGCATCTATTTGTTTGTTGGGCCAACTCCTTGCTCACATTTCAAGCAAGACCCAAAAACAAAATCAACTTCTTGATTTTGCATCTTTTGAATTGCTAATACTTTTGAACTGCTTCTTGTGTTCCTTAATGCTAATGCTCTTTATGGCTTGGGACGGGTTCAATGGATTTTCAAAATTCATTTCAACTTTCAGCTAATATTGAACCCGAATCGGTATCTGGTCCTGTGAAGGAGCAAATACAGAGGTCACATTGACTTGTGATGCTTTGCTCCATTACTTGTGGCTGTATTTAGAGAAAATCCTTGCTTGGAAACTTTGGATTCAAGTGGCTAATAGTTTGAGCAAAAGGGTGGTTTGGGGATTGGAAATTTGAAATGGCAGAACGTGACTCTTTTAGGCAAGTGGTTCTGGAGATTCCCTTTGGAACAAAACTCACCGTGGGCAAAAATCAGAAGAAGTAAGTATGGGCTGAAGTCTAATGGTTGGGATTCAAATTTAGTGACTAGAGGATCTTTAGGAATCCGTGTTCTTTTCTTCAAAATGTGAAATTGAAAGTGGGAAATGGGACCAAAATCTTGTTTTGGAGAGATGCCTTTTAGAATTTCCGACTTTCCAAATGCTATCATTTCTAATATTGTGTCATTGTCTAGCAATGCTGAGCTGAATTGGAATTTTGGTTTTAGGAGAGGCCTCAACAATAGAGACATAGAGGATTTGCATTTTCTAGTTCAAAACTCCGTTTCATTTAGTTCATCTTCTCTTGATCTTAGAGTGTGATTGTGTGATTCTACAGGTTTTTCTTGTCGATCTTTTTTGAGTTCCTTAGTGGACAGAGATGATAATCCGAATTTTGAGCTGTTTAAATTCATTTGGAAGTCTTGCGCCCCCCCATGGAATTAAAGTTTTTGCTTGGTTGGTCTTTCATGGGAAACTTAACACCTGTGACAGGATTGGAAGAAAACCCTCATATTGGACATCTTGTGCCCCCCATAGAATTAAAGTTTTTGCTTGGTCAGTCTTTCATGGAAAACTTAACACCTGTGACAGGGGGCAGAAGAAAAACTCTCATATTGCTCCTTCCCTGTCTTGGTGTGTCCTTTGCAGGGGTAACGGAGAAACCATTAATCATCTATTGTTACATTGCAGGGTGGCCATATCACTATGGAAGAAACTAACCTTGGAGGCTGGTTTTAGTTGGGCAATTCCAGTAAAGTGTAGTTTCTTGATGGTGGAGACTGTGGTGGGCTTTGGCTCTAATAAGTTGGCTAGAGTCTTATGGAATAGTATGGTGCTCTCAATTCTGTGGACTCTTTGATTGATATTTTTGAGAAGGCAAAGTTTTCGGCCTCGCTGTGGGCTGTGTCCAAAAAAGCTTTTAAAGGATTTCTGTTTTCTTTGGTTATATTAAATTGGAAAGATGTAATAGGAAGTTGATTTGGTAGCTTTTTATGAGTTTTTTGTTTTTTCCTTTTCTTGGTCAGGCCTTATTTTTGTTCTTTGCCGCTTTCTTGTTTTTCTTGGGCTTGAGGATACCTTATCCTCTGTCCTTGTTTATTGATTTTTATCAATAAAATTTTTCTTATAAAGAAAAAAAAAAGTTTGAGCAATATTTTAATCTTTTGTCAGTTTGGAGTTTGGGCAGACTCGTTTTAGTGTCCAAATGTTCGTCTTTTCTACTGAATGGAGTTTGTCACTGTGTAAACGCACCAGGGTGTTTTAAAGAGTTGTAGACTAAACAATGCACATAGATTGTTGGATATTCTTTATGACACAGAATTTTGTATATGCTGTTAATTCCCTCTTTAAAATTTTCAGACTTGAATGTGTAGCCTGAGATGTAACTCAGACCACTGGCCGAAGATTGTCTTGTTTGTCTTCTGTGCCCTGTTGGGTGGGTCAGAATTGGGAATGTTGGCCAAGTTCGAGGTTTGAAGGCTGAAAAGTCTATTTTGCTTAATCTTTCATTATAAGGAAATATTACCTAGGAACAACACTAGCGTGACAATAGCATTAGTTTACATTCGAGACAGCTGAACTTGACTATTATCATGCTTACTGTGAAATTGATGATTTATTCTTCAAGTACATCACTTTATTAACATTTTAGAAGATGGTGCGTCGCACTTTGTCTTCACCCTTCAGAGAAGATCACTTGGAATAAACACTAGCGTAGGTCCTGCATTATATTTATGGCTGATGAAATCAATTGAGAAACAATAAACGCAGCTCTTAAATGTTTTCTTAAAAAAACAAAAACAAAAGAAATAAACGAAGCTCTTAAATACTTGCCAATTTTCTTAAGCATTACTTAATTTGAATTTTCCATTTAATAAAGTGTGTTCTTTTCTTTTTTTCTTTTATTATCTTTTTTTTTTTTTTTCATTTGGCTCGACTATATACATGTTAAGGTATGATTGAACATTTGTTGAACGACCAAGAATTGACCTTAAAAAAGCGTTGCAATAAACATATTTTCTTACTTTCTTGCACTGTTTCTCTTATGCAATTTCTTGTTTGTGTGTACGAACGCTATTAAGAGATGATTTTTTTTTTCTATTAATACTTCAATATAAAAGAATTGTGCAACTCTTCTTTTTCACTGAATGAAGCCCCAAGCCAATTTTTCGTTCCTCATTTTTTTTCTCTCTTTAATTGTTTTTCTTCTTTCTTTTCTTTGAAAACGTTCTAATATCAATTTGATCGATAACTTGAACTGCAGAAGAAGAAACTGACCCGTACAGGATTCCGACAAAACATAACATTAGAATGGCATTATATTGGCTTGTACAAGGATGTCATCCAGGTGACTCCCTGGTATTTCATTATTCGGGTCATGGTTCACGACAGAGGAACTATAATGGTGATGAAGTTGATGGATATGATGAAACTCTATGTCCCCTGGACTTTGAAACCCAGGGTATGATTGTTGATGATGAGATCAATGCCTCAATTGTTAGAACTATTCCTCACGGTGTTAAGCTTCTTGCCATAATAGATGCTTGTCATAGTGGCACTGTACTAGATTTGCCATTCCTTTGCAGAATGAACAGGTTAGTAAAGTTAACTAACACTAGTGAATAAGGTCCTTAATAGCTCACTATGTTTCTTAGTTTTGGATAACATGAAATTCAGATGACGTGATTTTCAGAAATTTACAAGTGTTGTAATCTCATATCTGATATCTCTATCTTTTAGTATTGTTCCAATCTTGACGGGTCCGTGCTCTGTCAAGTCCCTCTTTTTCTTTGAGGGGAAAGGCTTGGGTGCTTGCCTGGGGACAATCGTGTCATGTGAATCGGTCGCATCTGATCATCTTAAATGATTCTTTTTGAAAATAAAAGACTCTCAGATTTGTTTTTTTTTTTTTTTTTTTTTTTTCTGTGGAAGAAAGTCTTGAATTTCTTAGCGTGACTACAATTTTTACCTCTTGGTAATAGGAGCGGACAGTATGTGTGGGAGGATCATCGGCCTAGATCGGGTGTATGGAAAGGAACAGGTGGTGGAGAAGTTATTTCGTTTAGTGGTTGTGATGATGATCAAACTTCAGCTGATACATCAGTGAGTGAAAATCTGATTTGAGCAAAAATTTTCTAGTCTAAGCAAAGAGGAAAAATGTTTGATATATGGTTAATGGAACAGGCTTTGTCAAAGATCACATCAACTGGTGCCATGACTTATTGCTTCATTCAAGCAATCGAGCGTGGACAGGGAAGCACATACGGGAGCATACTGAATTCGATGCGATCTACCATCCGAAATACAAACAGTGGTGGCGGGGTTGGCGGTGATGTTGTTACATCTCTAATTAGCATGCTAATAACTGGAGGCAGTGTTAGTGGTGGGCTGAGACAGGTAATTGTGATTTTTGTTTTGTTTTTTTTTTTTTTGGCTCTGAAGTAATTGTGATTGAAGCCACACATTTCACTATTTTCATTTGCCAATTATTTATTCATTTGTTCCGATTTAATCTAATCCGTGCATGAAGTTTGTATCATCGACTAATTTTTTCCATTCTGTTTGCTTGTTGCAGGAGCCACAACTAACGTCCTGCCAGCCATTCGATGTGTATACAAAACCTTTCTCCCTATGATTATTGTGTCCATAGAATATAGATTGAATTCATCATCAATACATCGACAGACTGTGTTCATGTTGTTGGAACCTTTCCGGCGAAAAATAAATATTAAATATGGTGGACATGTTTGATTGTTTAGTGAAACAAGATACGTAGTATATTATACGTACACTAATTTTCCAAATTGTGTATGTATCGCTATATTGTTTGGTCATCCAGAGTTTATCTACTGTTTCTCTTTCTCACCATGAAATCTGGACAGGAAGACGGCAGGAAGAATGGAAGATGATGGAATCCGTTTTTAAGTGCATTCAATATCAGATATTTTTTTGTGCATAGAATTGCTAAGATTTTTCATCCTACCTAATTTCTTGCCCATTATTTGCATTTCTGAAATGGACTTAATGACGTATCTGCTAGGAATTCTTTTGGTGGGCATGGCATTTCCTCTACCAACTTTATGCCCAAGAAAGGCAAGGGTTAACGATTCTCGACGAATATCCGTCACCACTTCAACCGCTAATTAACTTGGCTAAGAGAATTGGACGGTAAAAGCAATATGCTATAATGTTGGAAGCCTAGCGATAATTTTATGCCTAATTCCATCTTAAAGTAAAAAACATATAATTTAAAAATAAAATAAAAAATTCAAGCTATACAAAATGAAGAAACTGAACTAGCCTTCCTCTTTAATGATTACAAAGTAAAATGTTTTATTTTATCTTAGCTTATAACTAAATTTTATTCGCTTTATTAAAGCTAGCTAATGAATTAGAATCTGAGTACTTGTGGGTTTGTTCCGTTTTCATTTTGTGGACCCATAATGGTTTCTCTATTTAAACTCCCAACAATTTACAAGAAACAACCAAATAATCCAATACCATATATAGACATAGTTTGTCTTTTAGATAAGTAGTGATCACGTACGAAGGGCCATCAGGCCGTTGACAATGTCGATGCACACCTGCTCCAAGTACTGCAACCCGGTGCAGCTCCCCCCGGGCGCCCGAACCATGCGGTGCACCATTTGCCGCACCGTCAGCAGCTTAGGAGACGCATGGGACACGTTTCGTCCCCCCGCCGCTTATGCGGCAGTGGCCCCATACAACGTCCACTACGTACGAAGGGCCATCAGGCCGTTGACAATGTCGATGCACACCTGCTCCAAGTGCTGCAACCTGGTGCAGCTCCCCCCGGGCGCCCGAACCATGCGGTGCACCATTTGCCGCACCGTCAGCAGCTTAGGAGACGCATGGGACGCGTTTCGTCCCCCCGCCGCTTATGCGGCAGTGGCCCCATACAACGTCCACGCGCCTGTACGATCGCGGCAAAACTGCCCCGGGCGTAAGAGGGCGGTGATATGCGGGATATCGTACAAGAAGTCGAGGCACGAGCTCAAGGGCTCAATCAACGATGCCAAGTGCATGTTGCACTTCCTCGTCAACAACTTCAGGTTTCCGCTGGATTCAATTCTCATGCTCACTGGTATGTCAATGTTAATGTTATATATATTTTTGTCCATATATTTTTGTCCATTTAATTGGCCACGTGATGTGTCGACAGAGGAAGAAAGTGATCCGCAAAGGATTCCTACTAAACGTAACATTAAGTGGGCGATGCGTTGGCTCGTACAAGGGTGCCAACCTGGTGACTCGCTCGTATTTTATTTCTCTGGACACGGCTGGCAGCAGAGGGACTACAGTGGTGATGAAGCTGATGGATACGACGAAACTATATGCCCGTTGGACTTTGAAACTCAGGGTATGATTGTTGATGATGAGATCAACGCCTTGATTGTTCGACCCATTCCTCTTGGTGTTAAGCTCCATGCCATCGTCGATGCTTCTCACAGTGGAACCGTACTAGATTTGCCATATCTTTGCAGGATCAACTGGTTCGTTACTTCAATATAATTCGCTCGTCAACTTAACAACTCCAAGCTAATTTCTTTAACTTAATCCCCTTGTTTGTAATTGGCAATATATATATATATATATATATATTTATAGGAAAGGCCAGTATGCGTGGGAGGATCACCGCCCTAGGTCAGGTGCACCGAAAGGAACAAGTGGCGGACAAGTTATCTGTTTCAGTGGTTGTGATGATGATCAAGATGCAGCTGATACATTTGTAATAATTACTTCAAACAATCTATGAATTTTATAATTAAGATTTCATTTTTCTCTTTTAATGTTCAAATTATTAGATATTAAGAAAGAACAACCGTTTCGTTGGACACACACACGTACATGTTTTTTCTAAATTCATGAAATTGCAACAGGGTCTACCAGATAACAAACCCTGCGGTGCCATGACTAACTCCTTCATCGGAGCCATTGATCGCGGCCAGGGGAGTACATATGGCAGCATACTCAGCTCCATGCGGTCTTTCAACATTCCAGGTTTGCGAGGACGCCAGGTAGTTTCCGGCTGCATTAATTATGCTAAAAAAGAGTCGTTTAGGTTGCAAATTTACTCTTTATTTTTAAATCCCCAAGATATTCACTTTCTTTTTTTGGTTGTTGTTGGTTATAATTATAGGAGGCACAATTAACTGCCAGCCATCCATTTGATGTGTGTGCAACACCTTTCTCCCTCTGAGTCTTCTCCATGGATTAAGGGTCGCATTGACTACATATCATCTATGTTATTCTAATGAAGAACGTGCATGTTTGAGGTTGTTAATAAGTGAAAATGTGTACCACTTATTAATGTTAATGTGTCAATATTAATGGTATATATCCATTTGATGTATTATGTACTCTTTGGAGAATTAAATTATGTATGTTTCTGTGTGTGTACCTATTTCCAAAATTATATTATGGAAATATGTTACAAGCTATCAAGTACCACTTTAAGACCCTGTTCATTTTAAGAATTCGATTTTTGCTACAGTAAAAAGCTCTCAGAATCTATCACATTTAACTTTTTTGCTATAGGAAAAGGCTCTCACAAAACGGGCCCAAATATTACAAGTCTACTTATAAAAAACGCAATTTGATGCTAATGGATTTCAAAAGATTTCATGCAAATGTATGTTGTCATGATGCAATATAATACAGTTAACATCACAATTATTCATTAAAGTGCTCTAATTAGGACTTTACAAAAAAAAACCGTAAAATCAAAACTGATCAACAATGATTGAAGAATCGACCGCTCAAAAACTGAAAAATGCGGTACAACATGGAACCGAAGAAATTCAGGTTAGTTGTTTTTTTTTTCTGATTTAGTTTTTTTTCTCTATTCCTACTATTGAAGTTCATTTAGGCAAGAGATTTTGTTAATTGGTTCTACCAATTACAAAGTAAGAGTAATTGGTTCTATTCTGATTTGGTTTGATTTGATAGAATTTTGCTTTGGATTTTAGTAATTTGAGATGTCTGCAACTTTAAGTAAACGACATTCTATCAGAAAACTTTTAAGCAAATGACAAGAGAAAATATTGCATGCATATTGCAAGTAATGGCTATTTTTAAATTTATGAGATAATCACTGCTTGTTATTAAAGAACTAATTTAACTTCTTTCTTTTGAGTGCGTTTGATTCCTTAGATATGTCGCCAGTTTGACCAACAAGGTTGCTAAACATTTGGATATGTTAACTTCTTGCTTCATATGACATTTACAGAGCAAATGATTGTAAGATTGCACAAATTAATACATAAAACCCGACCAAAGTAAAACTATCAATAATATGGTTAATATATAAGTTGTTAGGGCTCTGTTTTATAAAGTAGACAACGTAATGTCTGGTCTTAACCAGACAACGTAATGTTAGTAACTTAATGGTTAACTGATGGTCACTGTCCTAATTATCAAAATTGAAAACCTACTAAAACCGAAGTTCGGTTAACCGAACCGAATAATATTTTATGCGATTCGGTTTCGGTGTTCGGTTTTAAAAAATTGACATGGTCAATTCGGCCACCGAACCAATCAAAATCGGCAATTTTTAACCGCCGAACACCCGTAGCTCTAATACAATTATATCACGTTACGCTGCCATTTTTTTAGTTTACTTTTAAATCTTGTAATTTTTAATTTTACATCATGAAAATACCTTTTCCTTCTAATTTGCTTCCATTAAAAATAATTTTTCTCAATATTATTTTTTTTCTTTCAATGTTCTAAATTATTGTTTTGTTGAGTGGGGTCTTTACAAATACATTTTTTTTTTCCGTAATTAGCTATTGAAATAATTTTTCTTAATATGTTTCTACTTAAAGATTTTCATATTTTCTAAAATATAAATATTGATCATCTTCTTTTACATTAAAATGTTATTCTACTATTTTTATACTCAAATGGCTTCTATGAAACTTTCAGTTTATCATTTTCTTTTCGTTAAAAATATATTCTACTGAATTTACTTCAAATCTTTCATGCGTAATTTTATCACCTGACATTGTGATATGATGGAAAAAACTACAGTTTAAAAATTCATTAATTATTTTCTAATTTTAGAATAATTCATTATTTTATTAGTATCTAATATTGATAAAACATTAGCTTGTTTTCAAAATAAACTTAGGCCGTTTAGTTCGTTGATTCGAGTTTTTAATTCGAGTTAAGATGTGATTTTATGTGAGAGCTTTTTACTGTAGTAAAAAAGTTAGATGTGATTGTTTATGAGAGCTTTTTACTGTAGAAAAACTCGAATTCTAAACTCGTATCAGCGAAATGAACGGAGCCTTAGAATTGAAAGAGATTTAGACTTCGTTCGTTTCACTGATTCGAGTTTTTAGTTCTAAATTTCTGCAGTAATAAGTTTTCAGAAAATATCGCATCTAACTTTTTTTATTACAATAAAAATTCTTATAAAATGTTACATTCTAATTTAAATTGAAAATTTAAATCCGGGTAGAATCAGAATGACAGTGATGGGTTGAAGTATAAGAAATAAAGGGAGCCTTGCACATTTGACGCTCAGTTATGACTGGGAAAATCAATTCATATTTTGAAGAGAGTGTTGGGGGTTTTGGAGTCCATGGAAGAAGAGAGAAAGCGAAATCGTTCCCGAAGCTCCAATTCAGTGCTTTGGTGGTTCTTTGCCATAGCTGCGTGCATAAAGCTCCTTGTGGTTCCATCCTATCACAGCACAGACTTTGAGGTCCATCGCCATTGGCTTGCTCTCACGCACTCTCTTCCGCTTTCTCGGTGGTACTTGGACGAAACCAGCCTTTGGACCCTCGATTATCCCCCCTTCTTTGCCTATTTTGAACGCTTCCTCTCTATCTTTGCCAACCTCATTGATCCCCAAATCGTTCACCTCCAAAAGGGCTTGAACTACACCTCAAATACGCTCCTTTATTTCCATAGAATCACTGTGATTCTATCTGATTTGTCTCTCTTATATGGAGTTTATAGATTCACTCGAAATTTGGACTCGACAAGGCAAAGATTGATCTGGGTATTGGTTATTTGGTCCCCAATGCTTGTGATTGTGGACCATGTGCATTTTCAGTACAACGGATTTCTCCTTGGGATTCTGTTGATGTCGCTTTCTTATCTGCAACAAGGGAGGGATTTGATGGGCGGCTTTCTTTTTGCAGTGTTGTTGTGCTTTAAGCACTTGTTTGCAGTTGCTGCACCAGTTTACTTTGTGTATTTGTGGAGGCATTATTGTTGGGGAGGATTTATAAGAGGTTTTGGGCGTCTTTTGATCATGGGGGCTGTGGTTGTGGCGGTTTTTGCAGCAGCATATGGACCATTCGTATATCACGGACAGGTCTCAAATACTCATTTTCCTGTCAATTTTGTTGAATTTAAATCTCCTGGTAATGTTAAGCGTATCGTCTTTATTTATTTATTTCTTTTTATTTTCCTAGTATTTTTTCTTTAAAGATATAACTGATTTAGCCTTTGTGTGATAATCTTGATTCTTTGTTGAAATGCCATAGAAACATCTCTAGAGATGAAGACTATCAGTGAGGACTTAGGATTTTGGACCGTATTAATATACAGGAAGACTTTCTCTCCATCAAAGCTATGTTCAAAATCATTTGGATCAATATAAGCAAGCCCCTTATGGCTAAAATGTGGCAATTGGCACTATCTTACGTATTCCTACTTACTTTTATTAGAAATTGAGGGATGAAGAGCCTAGTAGTTGTTTTTTTTTCCTTTTCTTTTCTCTTCTTTTTTTCTTTTCCTCTGTGTTTGATTTGCCAAATCTAACTTTGCAGATGCAACAAGTCATCGGCCGTATGTTTCCATTTGGAAGGGGACTATGTCATGCATACTGGGCACCAAATTTTTGGGTGTTCTATATTATACTGGACAAAGGGCTCGCTTTCTTGCTTAGAAATCTTGGATTCAGTATTCAGGCAACTGCAGCTTCATTCACTGGTGGGATAGTTGGGGGTTCCTCCCCTTTTGCTGTATTACCTCCGGTGATTCTCTTATGCTTAATAAAAATAAATAAATAAAATTAATCTCTTAAGCTTGAGCTTGGAAAAGTCGTATGTTCTACCGGTTGATTCTTACCTCTAAGATCCTCTTTTGCTTAAGTTCCTCGAGGAGAGTAATTGATTGTTTTAATTTCTATACTTTTTTCATCAACTGTCCGTTATAATTTATGATGCTCCAATTGGACTATAAGACATGGCAGTGGAGGGTCTAATAAACTAAGTAATATGTCGTGCTAGTACATTTAAATTTCCTAAACAAATCTAGTCTGCGGTTCCACTTCAGGCAAAGCAATTATTAAGTGAAACAGAATTAGTCAATACCATCATTTTTAGCAGTTCGCCAGTTAGCGTCAATCCAACAGTGTCATTTTCTTGAGCCTGTACTTTCACTGTTCGACAAATGCCTAACCATTGTGAAAGAAGAAATCGCCTCTTTCCTTTCTTTAATCCCCAGTTCTAGACATGGCATAAGATAGTTATCCTGCACTTGAGATTGATGTGTCATGGCTTTCCTCTTTCTAAAATAAATGTGTTACCATTTGCATTTGTGGGAAGGATGCTGTTTTTTTACATAATAAGATTGAGTTTTGTCCTCTATTTGATTCTTGTCAGAAATTTCACCTGAGACCTAAGTGTTTATAATTTAATTATTAAAATGGCAGATCACCCCATTGACAACTTTGATTGCGATTCTCCTCGCTTTATCTCCCTGTCTTATGAAAGCTTGGAGGGATCCACGGCCAGAGAGGATTTCAAGATGGGTAGCCTATGCTTACATGTGTGGATTCTTATTTGGGTGGCATGTGCATGAGAAGGCATCACTTCATTTTGTTATCCCCCTGGCGGTTGTTGCAGTGCAGAGTATGGATGATGCAAGGCACTACTTCATGCTATCCATAGGTACTTATTTCAGCTCATCGCCTTTTCTTATTCATATGTGGTGCTATTTGGTTGTCATTTTGAGGAGTTTATTTAGTTTTCTTAATTTATTGTTTTGGTTGTTTTGCTTCGAAATGTCAATGACTTGGCCCTACATTTCCACTAGATGCTGCTTTTCAGCACTGTTTCATGGTTTTTATCTTTTCTTTTCCTGTTCTGCTTTGCGCGGCGATGTTTCTTCTTATGCTGATAAAGTTGCTTATGAATTGAGGAAGGATTTCGATAAGAATAAATTTCATAACCACATCATTTGAGCAAAACTGGCATGGTTAATGAGCTGCGATTCTGCAGAACGGTTCTCAAATAAATTTTGCCAAATCCAAGCTGTTGAATAGTGTTGTCAATAGTTAAAGTGTGATACTAATTGATCCATGCTATTCTTGGTCTTACCATAGCATTTTATTACAAACTTTTCTGTGCTTTCAACTTTTCCATGCAGTTTCTTGCTATTCACTGTTCCCTCTTCTGTTTGAAGCCCAAGAATACCCAATAAAAGTGGTATTGCTACTGCTACACTCCATTCTTATCTGGTTAGGATTTTCTGCACTGTTCGCAAATGGTGCAGCAGTTAAAGCAACTTTGATTAGAAAGAAACGAGACAAGGCAAGTTCCAGCGCGGCTGCTCGGAAGGAAGAATTTACTGTTAATTGGGTTGAGAAAAGTTACTTGACGGGTATCATTGTTGTTGAGATAGGGGGTCAGTTTTTGCACCCTCTGTTTTTTGGTGATAAGCTTCCTTTTGTACCTCTTATGTTAACCTCTATCTACTGCGCAATAGGGATCATGTACTCTTGGATTTGGCAGTTAAAATCCATAGTTACCTCTCTTGATTCCTAGTGTTCATGCCTTTAATTTCCATGGATGTGACACTTGAAAGCTGCTACTTGTATCTTTTCTTGTCATTTATTATTTTTAAATTTTTTGTCCTAAACTTGGACGCCATAGAAATATAACTATTTATAACTAGTGACAGCCAGCTGTGACGTTTTTATTTGTGTTAATTAATCGAATAGGGGCCTAATTCACTCTAGTTGGATTGTATACGTCCAAGCAGGAATACTGCCACTTTGTTTTTTTTTTGAGAAAATTGGAAACCAGACAACGTAATTACCCATAATTAACACACTATGATCCAGCATTCAAATAGCTCTTTAACAAAGTCTGCACAATTGATGAAAAAATCTGTTAGACCGAAATTGACTTTTCTGTCGTTTTTAATTTCTTATCAAGGCATGTTACTCAGAACACCGGTATTTATCTTTATTTTTTGAACACCAATTGACTAATGCGAGTGGATTTCATAATTTACTTTGCTTAAAAATTTGGTATGTTGGTTCATAACTTAAAATTAGCAAGACATAGTAGCAGCTGTTTTTCCTAATTTTAACCTCCAAATCATCAGAGTTTTCGCCGCGTTTCATACCAAAAACAAAACCATATGAAAGCGCTCAAAGTTTCCAAGTAATGTCGAAAAGACGAGCAATCACATAATGGAGAACCTAACATTTAGACGGGTCAATTTAAACCTCTCATAATTGCAGTAAGATATTTGAAGAAATAATAATAAAACATGGACAAGGATCATAACCCCATAATATAAATTCCCTCTCGCCCATCAACAAAAATATTTATGCAAATTAATAGGTACCCTACAGCTCAAGGCATGAATTTCTTTTTCTCTCTCTCTCTCTTTTTTCCCCTAACAAAGATTACAATGAGCACCACTACCCTAAATAAATCTCTCTAATATTCTGGATTTTAGAGGATCTGGAGGCAGGAAAGTCTCCAACCGCAAATTAGAGCTCTTAATAATCTCAGTTAAAACATTTTCCCCTTTCTCAGATTTGATAACTTCCAAGATGTTTCCAAGAACATCAGCTGCAAGCCCCCCACTTAAAAGACTCCCTGGTTCCTCACCGCCTTCACGTATTAGCCGCTCAATCTCTCCCAAGGAAACCACATCCTCTGTAATCACTTTGGCAAAGATACAACCAAGATACTCTGGTGCTTTCGGGGCGTCAGTGACAGTATCCTCAAAAGTCTTCAGAACAGATTCAAACCTAGCCATAAGAAATAAAGAGAGTTAATCATTGGAAAGAAAAGTAGTTTCTATCAAGCCATTTTGAATTGCTAATTTTTTCCTACCCTTTAAGGAGGTCTTTTTGACTCAAAGTAGAATCGCGAGACTTTGTAAGATTGACGAGAAGTTTCCCCAAAAGATCTCTTTCTACGTCCTTCCCCTCAAAAGAGTCTGTGACCCATATAGATACCATTGTCGGGTGGAAGCTCGGAGAATTCAAGTCTCTGATGCAAAAAGCAACTTCTTTCTCATCCCTAGCACTGTAACCATTAAACAAAGTTCAGAGAGAATGTTAACAAGAATGACCAGGAAAAAATATGGAGCTTTCAAAAAATATACTGATAATAGCAGAAGTGGCCAGCGTGCATCTAATGATAAAACAGTTTTCCACATGAAAATTGTGCAAGTTCTCAAAATACCAGTTCAGATATCTCCTGCTACTCCTAGGTTTTTTTTTGAAACCTAAAGCATTATAAAGGCAAGTAGTTGTGCAGTAATGTCAGGTTACAACTTACAACAGTCTGAACACCTAAGATCCTGGAGATCAACAGTGTATTCATGCAAGTTATCCATCCACCCAGAAATATAAGACGGCACTTCACCCCAGAATTCTTGATTCAGCAATTTGGTTTGGCAAACATCAGTATGAGTGCCATGCCAATTAGTATAGGATTTATATTTATAAAATACATCTTGTCATGTATCCTATTTCCTCTTTGCACTATCATCAAAAAAATGTCTTTAGGCTATTCTCTTCGATGTCAATTCGATGAATGACAGTCACATTGAAAGTAAATCCCCCGCCCCAAAATAAGACACAAGAAAAATAGATAAATAAAGACAGCGTGCACATGTAACGAATAAGGAAGCTGTTGAGAACTTATTTTATTGAATATGGCATTAAATAAAAAAGGAAAAATAAATAGGCAAAAAGAAACATGCATAGGAGATGAGCACACCTGTAGAATTCTTTTATAGTTGTCTTTGACTTCTCGCGTAGACGTTCTTCGGGCCATACCTTCTCTGCAGCAGTATTTTGTGTGGAAGTTGGTGCATGCCCACGTGCAGGTGGTGAATTTGGAACAGACCTATCAAAAGTATGATCTGAATTTCTGTGGTCCCTGCCACCATGATTAATATTACGGTCTTGTGGACCCGACTGATCATAAGCAGCTTGGCCTGAAAATCTATCTGGCATATACCTTGGAATGAGATCCTCCCTTGGACTGTAAGCACGGTCCGATACAGAACTGTAACCATTCAAGCCTGCTGTCACTCTTCTGGGGTCTCCACTTCCAGGTGACATATCAACCAGTGAAGCAGGTGAGATAGAAGGTGGTCCTCTGATGGACATTCCTCTTGCAAGACCACCTTGGGGCCCTAAGGTAATTGCATCGTCACCAACAGATCTTTGAGTTAGGGGAACTGACAAAGTCCTGGCCTCAAAAGGCAGTCTCTCTTCCTGTCGAACATCCTGACTTCCAAAACCACGAATCTGTGTGGGCAACGTACGAAAGCCACCCATCTGAGAATTGGGAGAAGATAACATAGCTGAACCTCTGAGACCATAATCCATAGGAGGCCCCCTTCTCACTGATGCATTCGTGCTTGGACCACGACTCAGCCTACTTGTTTGTGCCTGCCGTTCCTGAGCAGCATCTCTGTGCACTTCCTCAATCTTCTTTGGCCCTTCTACTTTCCTCCTTTGCTGCCATTTATTCTTTCTGAGATCAATTGCATCCTTCAACATGAATCTAACCCTAGATGATAGATTCATGTTGTTTGACAAATTTTTCATCCCTTCAAAATATGCATCCATATGCTCCTTGGCTATTGGATGGTCTATAATCTCCCCTATTGTGCTCATTAGTTTGCATAAAGCTTCAACATCCTCCTCATCAGGAGTTTGATGTTGACCTTGACCTAACAGTTTTTTTATGCACTCGTGCATTATTCTCTCCGTCAGCATTTTCTTCTTGTACAGCTCCCCGATCAGCCTGATATTACCCAGCATCCGTCTTCTTGCCTTAATTCTTTTTTCTTCTCTTTCCACTTCAGATTGTTTTACCTCACCCTCCTCATCAGCCTTGTAGGCTTCCTCTTGCTCTCTTTCTCCTCTCTCAAATTCCTCCTGGCATTTATTGAGAAGTAATCTCTTGAAAGTGATCTTCTCATTCTCTTCGTTAAAATCAGGCAACCCTCCAGAAAGATGATAGCAAAAGTTAGCGTACATCTCACAGAAAGTGGGCTCCGTAAGAGCTTTGTCAAAAATCTGTGCAATGACACCACGAAGTGTCCCAGCATTGTCAATATTAACAGCTTTGACTTGCTCAAAAAGTTTTTCAAAGTTCTGTGGAGTTAGCTTGTTTAATATGCCTTTCAGCTGTCTTTGCTTCGCCTCCTCCTCATCTGCTACTTTACCCACTTCATACCTCTTCTCAGTTTTGTGCATCATCAGTAACTGAGTCTGTGGAGAAGGAATCAAACCCTTGTGCTGAAAGTTAGTAGCACGCTGCCACCTATCAGCATCAGCAGCATTATTTCTTTGCATCCCTCCCTGAGACCCTAAGGACTGCATAGGACCAGACAGGATTCCTCCAACATACTGCATAGGTGCTTGCGCTCGGGGATTCCTCAAGACACCGAAATTTCCTCCCTGGCCAGGTCGAAAACCAGAACTTGCTCCATAAGCTAAATCCAGCCGCGGGTCAGCACGTCCTGGACCAAACGGGCTTGGCAGTTTACTCCATCTGTCGTCCTCCATCATTCCACTGTTACGACGGTCGAGTCGAGGTCCACCTCCTGGCCTATCAATAATTCTTCCTGGAGTCTGGAATGAATTGCGATCAACAACATGAGACGCATTGGCATTAGAACTCATCAAGACCTCAGCTATATCAGCAGTGATTTCAAAATCCTCTGGAACAACAGTAAACTGCTCAGCAAATTTCAGGAGAAAATCTCTGGAATACTTTTTGACTGAATTTCCATTTCCATCCTTCTCAGAAAACATCACACCACCATGGTCCTGTTCCTCATCTGAGGCTTCCAACTTTGGCTTAGAGATGTCAGCAGCGTCTTCCCAATCATCTGGCTCAGCTTTAACCCCCGCATCTTTTTCAACGACAGCATCCTCTTCAACTGCTTCATCAGGAGGTACCTTTATATTACTAAAAGTGCTTTCAGTGACTTCAGAAGCCACGGTGGTTTCCTTCTTTTCTCCAGGGCCCTTATATGCCATATAGAGATCAGATGTTGTACCAGCAGCATCTGCCTTCTGAAGATATTCTTTTCTTTTCTTCTTCCCTCTTGCAGCGGTACTCTTTGACCTGCTCAATTCTGGAAAAGGTTTTTCTTTAGAAACTGGTGGAACTGAAACCCCAGAACCACCCAAGTGACTCATCAAGACCTCAGCTACATCAGCAGTGATTTCCTCTGGAACAACAGTAAACTGCTCAGCAAATTTCAGGAGAAAATCTCTGGAATACTTTTTGACTGAATTTCCATTTCCATCCTTCTCAGAAAACATCACACCACCATGGTCCTGTTCCTCATCTGAGGCTTCCAACTTTGGCTTAGAGATGTCAGCAGCGTCTTCCCAATCATCTGGCTCAGCTTTAACCCCCGCATCTTTTTCAACGACAGCATCCTCTTCAACTGCTTCATCAGGAGGTACCTTTATATTACTAAAAGTGCTTTCAGTGACTTCAGAAGCCACGGTGGTTTCCTTCTTTTCTTCAGGGCCCTTATATGCCATATAGAGATCAGATGTTGTACCAGCAAACTTGCGCTTCTGAAGATATTCTTTTCTTTTCTTCTTCCCTCTTGCAGCGGTACTCTTTAAATTGAGGTTTTTCTTTAGAAACTGGTGGAACTGAAACCCCAGAACCACCCAAGTTTTCTGTGCTTCCCCCACCACCAACACCCCCCACACTTTCAACTTCATGTTTCGAAGCATCGACGGCCAGAGAAGGAGCAGACTGCTGATGCAATTTTTCAGATTTTGAAATTGGAACTTCACCATAAGTCGTGCAATTTTTCATGCATAGTGGGATTTGGAACAACCGAAACAAAATCCCACAATTTTCAGAGATATAATATAATATAAAAATAAAATGTTGAGTTCATGAAAAATAAACAGCAAGTGTATGAAGAACGTAACATTACCTGCATTCCCAGAGCAGACTGCTGATGCAATTTTTCAGATTTTGAAATTGGAACTTCACCATAAGTCGTGCTATCACCTCTGCTCAAAGAGGCATTCATACCAGCCGACTTCTCATAAGAACCTTCAACAACTTTATCACCCACACTCTCATGTTCTGTGTCGTGTATCCCTGGTTCATCCATTCCTCTTACAGTGTCTAATGGTAGAATGACACTGCTTGTAGCCACTTCTTCTCGTACAAATTCCTGACCAGGTTGTTTATCAACCTCAACAGACAGTAAGGAGTTAAGTTCCGAAGAAACCTCAGAACTGTTGGCATCCTGTTTAGGCTCTTCAGACAATCTATTTCCACCTTGTTCTTCTGTTACCACAGAGTCATGTTTTACTTGTTTGTCATGAACAGAAGAACCATCAAGCCCATTATGAAGAACAGAGCCTAAAGTGTCGGGAGCAGTCTCTGCACCAGAAATTTCAGAGGAAATACTTGGACTGCTTTCTGCACTTTTCTCGACCTTTACACTGCAAGTATCAGTAGTGGCAACCCTGGTGGCTGACAGTGACTCCTCAGTTGCTTCTGGCACATCTTTGTCGGTCACCTGAGGAGTAACAGCTGAATTAGATTCCACAGATTCTGAAGCAACACTTTCCGAAGACAGTCCCTGCTCAGAAGGCTGAGTCGACATAGGGATAGATGGGCCGCCAACCTGTTAATTAGGATTAAAAATACACAGCAACAAAAGGTAAGAGACTAGATCATGAATTGAAATACTATATTCTGGGAAAGACAGGAAGGAGGAAAAAAATTTGATCTGACCACTTTACCTGGTGCTGTGACTGGGAAAATCCTTTTTTTACAGGTTTCTTCTGTTGATCTTTCATTGAGTTTGACCTACTAAGAGTTTCCTTTCTTCTGGATTCAGCACTCACCGTAGCTGGCACAGACTCAGATGGAGCTGTGGAAGAAGCGGGGAAAGAAATGGATACCTGACCTTCAACAGAAACAGCAGCAACTGTGCCCGCAGCTCGATCGGTCACCACTAATGACTCGACCACCATTGAGTCACCACCAGATTTTAGTTTCTGTAAAGATCGATCTGTACAAGTCTCAGCATCTGCCGCTGATGAATGGGATAAGCTCGCTTCTCCCAATGGCCCTGAAGACTTTGGCAATTCACCTTTTTCAACTACACTAGAATTATTTGCCAATGACTCCAAGTTCTCTCCAACAGATCCGGTAGCTGGCTTTACAGTCACATGCGTAGTTCCAGATGGCACAGATGAGACCAAAGGCTGTGTATCACGTGCCTGTTCTCTGTTAGGCGATTCCAAAATACCATGCATATGGGTGCCAGACTTACTAACAGCCAAAGAATTGAGAGCTGATGGATTCACAACAGTTACATTCTGTGGACCCTGGCTACTGGGATAGTTAAATCTTGGTGCTTGAGTATTGGGTGCCATCTGTCCGCTAGTTAAAGGAAGAGAACCAGGAGTTTGATAGTACAGATTATTAGCATTATAAGGACCTGTATAATAGTTCATAGGATGAGACGTTGCAAATGATGGAATAGGCTGAGATTGAGGAGGAACATTGGATTGAGGCCTCATGTCAAATCTTACTTCTTCATGTGTCTTTGGATTAATAATCTTGACAGGAGTAGTTTTACGAGGAGGACCACTAAATTTTCCTCCCTGCTGCTGAGGGTATTGTGATGTCATGCCAATACCTAAGTTGCCTAACTGAGGGGCCAGTTGAGCCATCTGAGTTGTGAAACTTATGTTCTGACCCTGATGGATGATTCCCTGATGCTGCATTGGGTGAGGTTGGAGACTAGGGATGAAAACGGGCTGCTGCACTGGAGGTGCACTTCCTATCGATAAAGGCAAAGGCATAGGCATTTGAAGCGAATTTGCTGTCAGCCCCTGAGATTGTATCTGTTGGTTGGGGCCACCAAATGGCATGGAAACTGGGGACTGGTGAAATGGAACTGGCATCGAAATCCCAGTCATTGGAAGACCAGAAGGCTTTTGAGTTTGGCTGGATGGAGGTGCAGGTGAAACTTGCACGTCCTTCTTAACCTTGGGCACTGGGTGTGCCTCAGGAGTACTAGACTGATCGACAGCACTAGGATCCTTTCTAGGTAACTGCTGCTTGGGTACAGAAGGGATTGGAAATGTGGGCGCAGCTCTGAAAGATTCATGACGTGCCTGCAAGCACATAAATCAGATAATTATTTAGGAAAACTTTCGGTTGTCAAATAAACGGCCATATAAGAGAAATGGGAAACAAGCAAACCTGGTCACGTTTCTGCTCGTCCAAATTTGGGGGAGCAGAGCTTGTGCGAGCAGGAATCTATAACCACAACCGAAACAACATCCCACAATTTTCAGAGATAAAATATAATATAAAATAAAATGTTGAGTTCATGAAAAATAAACAGCAAGTGTATGAAGAACGTAACATTACCTGCATCCCATTCACGAAACCGGGACTTAATGAGCCAAACTGAAAAGCATACCCCTTAGATGCATCACCTGGGGCTATACTCATGAAGGAAAAAATAAAAATAAAAATAAAAAAAGAAGACATTACTATATTAGCTACTTGAATTCCCCTTATTATAGAATAAAATAAAATAACACAAAACAATATTTATGCATTGTTCTATTTTGAAAAAAGCCAAGAGAAACTAAATTGATTAATATGACATGAAAGATGAATGTCATCGGCAAACTTACGCTTCGTGGGGGTAGTGGTTGCTCTAGTGTCCGAGCTCACGGGGGCATGTTGAGAAGTTGGAGCCTTCGGAACACCTCGGGAGCTTCTTTGAGCTGCCAATGGCTCAGTTTGCTTGGCAGCTGAGCCTGTAGCCGGTGCATCAGATGCTCCTAAGATTGAGAAAAGAAAAATAGAAATCTATAAAATAAAAATCAAGCAAAGTGTGCAAGAACCAGTACACAAATGACCATTTATTCTCCGCCAATTTCTCGGACATTGTTTATATAACACCGAAGCTTTCTGCTTTTACATGATACGAGTATAAGAAAGCAAAAGAAACGAACACCATTTAAAAAAAATAAAAATAAAAAATTCATACCTTGTAATTGGGGCTGTATATGGGCACCATTTGGGGTGCCACGAGGTGTAGAAGCATTACTATCAGAAGAATTTACAGTGGGCACACTTGCCCTAGATTGCCCTCCTTGTGCATTGTTATTAGACTTCTTAAAACTGAAAAGCAATAATCCAAACCAACAGATAACGAAAATCAAAAACCTAATAAATGCAAAAACCCAAATTTCACACAACGAAAGTGCAAGTCGAACATTAAAAAAACAAACCCTCATATCACAATCGAAAGCAATTCGATTGGCAAGAAAAATCAGAATCAAACCCTAAAGGCAGCAAAAATTTATCTACTTTTTTTATTTTTTGGGGTTTACCTGCGATTATACGAAATCGACGGTGAAGGGGCGGGCCCGCCGCTTCCCTTACCGTAAGCGCCTGAGGAGCCCCGCGGCTGATTGGAGCTCAAGGATCGCCCCGATTTCCGATACTGGGTCTCGCTCTTATCGGACCTTGATTGATTGAAGGACATATATCCCAACCCTTGATTCCTCTAATTTTCTCTTTCAAAATTTCTCTGCGACCAAACAACACCGCAGATCCACAACACTCGAATCAAATAAAAAAACACAACAACAACAAGACGAACACGAACAGAAAACACAGATAATAATCTCAAAACACACATTAGGGTTCCCTTAGCGAGAGAAAGTGTAAAGGAAAAACCTGTCGAGTGAGAGTGAACAGAGAACGATAGGAATTAGGGTTTTATTGGCGAACCATGACAAAGCAGAGAGAAAGAAGAAGAGAGAGAGAGAGAGAGAGAGAGAGAGAGAGAGAGAGAGAATAACAAAGACAGAAAGCAAAAAATGGGGTTTTTTTAGAGAGGGAGAGAGTGTGTGTGTGTGTATAAGAAAGAGAGAGTATTGTAATCGTAATCGTAATCGTAATCGTAATCGTAATCGTAATCGTAATTTGTAATTTGTAATTTGTAATTTGTAATTTGTAAAATGTAAATTGTTATTGTGGTAACAAACTGACCAGTAAGGTGGTTAAAAGGGTAGGCTTTTTAGGAGATAAGAAATCCAAATCGAATGGGTCTTTCTTTCTCTTCTAATCTCTCTTGTGAGTTTGCGTGGCTTTCTTTTTAGTGGAGCTATTGCTATTTTGCTATCATTATTACCCCTCTCTCTCTCTCTCTCTCTTAGTTTATTTATTATTAGAGTAAATTATACGGATGCTTCTCAATCTTTAAACAGTAATAATTTGATCTTTAAATTTTTTTTTTTACGAAACGAACCTTAAATTCTTTAAAAGAGTGCAATATAATCCATGTCGTTAATTTCCGTCCAAAATATAACGGTACAGTCAATTTCTTACTCACGTGAGCCCTTCTTTTAATTAGCTGGAAAGACAAAATACCCATGTAACTGTTACATTACTCTCTCTCTCTCTCTCTAAGGACACCACCCCCAATAATGGGGTGCTTCAGCCAGCCATGAAATCCTCACCATCATCATCAACGTTAGAAGTACAACCCAAAAACATCAAACATGAAACTTTACTCCAAATCCCACTATGCAGAGTTCATCTTATGGACGAAGGAGAAGCTCTAGAACTCACCAATGGCGACTTCAAACTCACCAGAATCCTCGATGACAACCTCTCCTTCGCCACCATAATAAGAGTCAGAGAATATCTCACTTGGCCTTTGACGAAAGACGAGCCTGTAGTGAGAGACAAGCGACGGCCGTCAGTTGACTCATCCACGCCTTGTCCCTCTGGAACTGGAGGCTTGAGATGAATCTGTCGTAGTAGTTCACCGCGAGAATAGTCGTCAGAGCAGAGAAGCCATAATGTGCCTTGACGGTGAAAATCCAGTGGACAGCCTCCTTCCGAGCCGAGCCGCCATTAGAGAGTCGTCGGAGCTCAGATCACCGCAATTGAAATCAAACTAGGTCCGCTCCTCTTCCCAAAACAGGTCGTTCTCAAGCAGGACCAAAGCCTGGGGCTTCTTTGCAATCTCGTTCTCTTCGTTTTCCCCCAAATCCTCCCCCAGTCCCTCTTCTTCGCAGAACAAAGCGTCGAGCACCATTGAAGGATTTTGAAGCTCTTCGCCGTCGTCGAATAAAGCCATCTTCAGAGAAGAATGGACAGAAAACAAAGACGGAAATTTCTTTTTTTATTATTATTTTTGCTTAATATTACGCCATTAGAAGATCGAAGCTTTAGATTGAACCGATATCCATATCAGCATCAGCTTCTCTCTCTAGAATCTGGAGAGAGAGAGAATGTGCCCAAACATGTGATTTTACGCATATACCCCTAACATATAGGTCACGTAGCAAGAAATGCATTGTGCCGTTATATTTTGGACGGAAATTAATTGCATGGACTATATTGCACCTTTTAAAGAGTTTGAGGTTTACTTCATAAAAAAAAAGTTTGAGAATTAAATTGTTACTTTTTAAAGAGTTTAGGGACTATTCATAAAATTTACTCTTATTATCATTTACTTGCTAATTGCAATTAGAATGCTATTAGGACTTCTTTTTCTTTTTTCAAGTTCGTGAGGTTTTGTTTTAAGCAATTTATTAGGATTAGGACTATTATTATATTAATTATTGAAAAATAAATCTTGTTGTACACGTGGCCTGAAAAGAATTAACGTGTATTACATGAGCTTTTCTTGCTGTGTCACTAACCGAACTCAAACAATGGAATCCCAAAAGGACAAGAAAATAAATTAAAAAAATTAGAGGAAAAATTGAAAAAAAAAAAAAGAAAATAAAATAAATGAAAAAAGAAAGAGAATCCTACGGTGTTTTGGTTGTTTTTTTTTTTGGTCAAAAAAGTAGCAGGGAAATAGGGATGATAATATTTTTCATGAGGATAAGAATATTTACACCGAATAAAACAGGGATAAAAAATAATAATAAGGGATGAGAACGGGAATAGATACCAAATTTATGATTTGTTGACGTTAATTTATGAATAGTGAACCATTCTGATATAATTTCTCAATTAGAGTATAACTATATCTCATACCTCATGGTGTAATTAGATTTTGCAAATTTTAATTGGGCGAGATGTACAATTCTTACTTGTTAAGAAAGTAATAGTAGTGGTGAAGCACTTTTTGAGTTACAAAAGTTGTCTTAAATGTTAAATTATGATTTGACATATAGGACTGATTTTGTGGGAAATACTATATAAAATCTCAAATCTATAATCTAATTTGTTAAGTATTATAGAAGAGAGGATGCCTCTTGTTTTTGTTTTTGCACTTGTTTAGTTGCTTACTTGCTCACTTGAGGTTTTTTTTTAAGAAATATATTCTTAATTATCTCATTAATTTATTTTTCTATCTCCTTAAACATGTTACTATTTAAATACTTTTTTACAATCCTCTAAAATATTGTGCGTGAATTATTTTTTGAAAACGGTTTTCATGTTTTTTGAGAAGCAAAAATGAAAATGAAAATGAAAATGAATCGACGTTTGGATAGTAAATGTTTTGAAAACGAAAACAGTGAAAATAGTTTTGTGAAAGAATTAGAAAACGGTTTAAAGTTGTTTTTATTTTTCTGTTTTCATTTTTTAGTACTTATCAACAATATTATAATATATTAATTAATAAACACGATTTCACTTTTTTATTATACTCAAAACAATCTCTTAAAAAACTAACCAAACAAAATTTCAGAATCGGTCCCAGAGTGATTCTCAAAACAATCTCATTTTTACTTTTTATTGAAAATAAATCATTTTAAAACTAATTCCAAACGCACTCATTATTTTCACACATTTTACCCTAAAAATAATTTTTTTAACCAGTTGTGCAGCTAAATTAACTTTTTTCAAATATGACATCTAAAATATTGTTTTCACAAATATGACATTAAAAATAAACTTTTTAACTAATCATGCCACTAAATTAATTTTCTTTAAATGTGTCCAAAGTGTTGACTCTAAAATTTTATAGTTTTATTATATATATTAAGAACTACTAGCAAGTATAGTTGAATTATTGCTAATTATTTAAATTTAATATAAACCATGAATCAACAAATTATCATAAGTTATAAGCTCTCTAATATTTTGCTCATTTACAACAAAAATAATAATAATAATAATAAATTAATTTCTACAACCACATCCTTGATTAAGGACGCATTCCAGTTCTAGTAATGTTTTTTAATAAGAAATAACGGTTTTTATTGTTGATTATATGTGTCATACACTCATACAAAAGCATCGAAATGAATTCCACTGAGCCATCAAAAGTTATACAACTTGTTTTTGCCACGTAGCTTGTTGGTATGTTAATATTTTGGTAAGATCTTCTAAATGGGAAAAAAAGGCAAGTTCTCTCATAAATATATAGTTTTCCAACTTCCATTAGTGAAACAAAACACATATACGTGATATGTCCCTAAATCTCTGGAACTAAAATAAAATAAAAACATGAAATATTTGTTAGTTATTTTCAACTAAAACAATCATCACAAAGTTTTTTTCCCCCTAAAATGGCACTTGTTTCTAATATTTTTTACAAAATTTAACCAGAAAAATGAGTTAATTTTAACTATGGAAGCCCAAAAGCTTTAAGCAAGCAATGGTTTTGATAAAAATTTATGAGAATAAATGTAGAGAAATAAAATGAGATGGGAAGAAAATGGTTTTTTCATAAAACTAGAATGGTAATATTCATACTTGAAGGGAAAATATAGATTTTGTTAAAAATCTTTAAATTTTTAATCATAACTAAGAAAGCATACTAATTGATTAAATTAATAAAAATTAGTATCGATTTTATTAATTATATTTATTATAGTTTATAGTATAGTATTATAGTTATAAGGTTGAACATTTCCTATTGTATTTATTATAATCATATATTATTATTGTTGTATTCTGGACTTTGAGGAAAAGAAAAGGTAAAATCCTTAGATGAAAAACAAGCATACTCTGAAATCCAATGTTTATAGAAAAAATATACTGTCAACATTCACAGTTCACTTTTTTTTTTTTTAGAATCTCATATTTGACCCTGTTCTGAAAGGAACATATAAAGTGTCCAATGATGGGGTTAGGATTTGTTTTTTTTTTTTTTTGGAGAGCGACTTAACAAATTTTGAACTAAAATTATAATGTAATAATTTCTTACATTTGTTTATAATATTTTATTCATTTTACTCTAAATGACTTAAGCATGTAATAAAGTTAATAATTTTTAGAATTATAATGTTAAATTTAATACTTAAAGTTTAAAGTCAACAAACTTGTAAATATATATAGTAGTGTAGTTTGCTTTTGGTTTATTTTAGATTTAAGTTTGAAATAAAAATATACTTAAAAAATCAAAACAAAAGGAATGACTGAAATTTTCTTAGAAAAACTGTGGAGAAAGGACAATAAAAAAATTTGAGGGGGCAAATAAGGAGAGAGATGTCAAAAATTGTAGTGCCAAATTCGTATTAATCATTGTCAAATAACCTGTTTAGATTAAATGGTTAACTGGTAATTAAATAATTAAATAGTTATTAATTTCAAATAAATTAATATTTTTTATCTTTAAATAATAATTAAATAATAATTGAATGTTTTCATCTTTGATTAACCATTAGTTAATTATGAATTTTAATCACTTAACAAGATTAATTACTCAAAAACTAATTACTACTCATTTTCACATTAATCAACAATTAATAAAAAAATAATTCTTAATTAATTTAATTATATAAACCATCTTAATTAATCAATACTTAAATAAAAATTAATATCTAATTAATTATTGATTAGGCTGTTAATTTATCCTTAATTAATTATGGGGTTTTTAATTAAT